ACTATTTCTCACCTTTTTATCGACATTGCAGACAAACACTTCAACTGTTTGATTATTCGCAGATGACTGTGTCCATAGACCCGTCCATTGCCACCGAGACCATGAACAGCTACAGAGGGACTGGTCCGGGGCCATAAAATTTTGACGAGCTTACTTTTGATCTCAGTCTCACTTTTACCAAGGGAATTAATAGCAGAAAAATGAGACTATGATCAAAAGTGAGCTCATCTAAGTTTTATGGTCCCAGAGCCTGAATACACTATAGTGAACTGAAGCGACATCTGGCAAATGAAATTTAACTTCAAGAAGTGCGCCATCATGCAGATTGGGACATTAACAAGAAAGAAAGCCTTCGACTACATCATGAAAGGGGAGCCACTCGAGATAGTAGATTACCATCCATATTTAGGCGTTGAACTCAGTGACAACGTGAAGTACAACTTACACATAGATATAAACATCTGCAAGAAAGCCTCCAGTGTGTTGGGATTCCTGGAGAGCAACCATCAACATTGTCCACCAAAGGTCAAGGAAAGAGCATACCAGAGCCTAGTTGGACCAAAACTAAAGTACACAATATCAATATAGAATCCAAACAGAAAAAGATAGAACAAGCACAAAGAAATGCAACGAGATTCGTTAACAACAAACCTTACAACTAAGAAAAACCACACGCGCAGCATAACATCTGTATACCGGTATATGATACAGGAACTCACATGGAACTCCTTAGAACAGAGACGCATTTGGACTGACGTAAAACTTATGTATAAAGTAGTCAACCAACTCATAGCAGTCCAAATAACATACCTTCCCTAGCAATAGTACACGAGGAACTAGGAACAGTCACTGCCTGAAATTCATACCATATCACTGCCGAATTAACATCTAACAGCATTCCTTTTTTTCAAGAACAATCTATACTTCTGGAACACACTACCAGAATTATTTGTACTTTCACCATCTGGACAATTCAAAACATCTAATCAGAACCCCCAGCCCTGGACCATGCACTTACCCTGCATACTGAGATGCCAACAGTGACTTATACAGTGTATATATGTGTTATGGAGTAAACTTTTTTTTTTTTACATTTGGTCACTGCCACTCCAAACATAGTTTGTACATAGTTTCCTCGCCAATAAATGTCTGTAATTGATTTTAGCAAGTACACACATTGAAGTTGGAGTGTCGAACACAACTCAATGTCCCCTCGGGCAATAGATTCAGCTGTTCCCATCACCTAGGGAGAATATTCTGGTCTATTGACTGATCAGACGTTAAATAAATGTATAATATATATAGGTAATTAAATTAGAGCGGTTAATGATACAATGGTTATGTTGTTTGAGTTTGGACTTGCATAGGCGTCGGAAGCAAATTGAAAGTGGGGGGGGGGCTAATTGAAAGTTTGGGGGGGGGGGGGCTAAACCAACGAAAAAAGGTAAGCCCCAATTTTCAATGCCTGTATTATGTCAATTTTTGCAAAAAAGGTGGGGGGGGTTAAACCCTCTAGCCCCCCCTCCCGGTTCCGACGCCTATGACTTGTAACATTTGTTACATGGTATCTTTCTCGAGCTAGGAGATATCTATGAACTTTTAAAATTCCCGTCATTAATTTAGAAATAAGAAGTAGGCTTAAAAAATATGAATTTGGATTATCAGGTCATCCTCAAAAATCTTTGTTGCCATTTTATTAAAGATGGCCTCATTTTAATTTATTTATTTATTTATTGCTGTACTTGTTTTTTTTTCTTTAACTAATTCAAAATGTAACTCCTTTGTTCTTGGTGGTGGTGGTGTTTTTTTTTTTTTTTTTTTTTTTTTTTTTTTAAACTGAAATCAAACAAATACAGTAGATGCATCTCGGTTGCTCAAAGGTATACAGGAAAACTAACATGCAGGAGCAATGCTTTCAAATTAACATACATTAATTTCTTTTCATATTCCATCAGAAGAGATAAAACTATATATAGTATATAGGAGCTGCATGCATTTTTTAGATTATACCTGTTAAATGTGATTATTGTCTCAGGCCAGTTCCGGTGTACACTCATATCTCTGTCCTATCCGGCCAGAATGGGAGAAGATCGTACATTTTGGCCGTGGTTTGCGACGATGGTCTTTGATATTATACAAATATAGTCCTTTCATGATGTCGATTTATAGATATACAATGTACCGACTTCACAGAAAAGCATATTGACGGAACACGAAGTGCGAAGTCGATGCGTTTTTCTGTGATGTCGATATATATCTATGGATCGACCTCATGAAAGGGCTATATTTGTTATATTATTTTCTACACTTTTCATTTGTTCAAATATTTTTAAAAGAAGATTTTCAAAATGTAAAGACAGTGTGTTTTTAGAATTTAATTAACTTTAAGACAATCGTTGTAGAACAACTGTTACTTCCTATTAACAAATTCTAGTATATAATACATGTATTTAGGGTGATGTTGCCTTTTTGTGAAGTATTTTCTTTTTAAAGTCTAGATTCAAGTAATGCATATCTGCAGACACTGCTGTCATATCGGCTATGATGGGATAGATAAAAAAATAAATAAGTTATCAAATAAATAAAAAATATAATATAACCCCCCCCCCCCCCCCCACTGATTATCTGGTTCCTTTGTCTTTAAAATAACTTATTTTTTTCCCACCTGCATCATTTTGCTTGTATTGTTTAAGATCATTTATTAACAATGGGTATAAAGAGAAACTGGGTCACATCAACTGATGTTTCATAATTATACAATTATAATATTGTACTATTCTCATGTTTTTCTACAATAAATGAGGAAGGCATTATGAACCAATTTTTCCTTAGAATTTTTTTTAAATTTGAAAAAAGCTTGGTGATCCACCCTTTCCCTGTTCATACTGTTCATACCGTAGGTTTTTTTTTTTTAATTTAGAGAGAGAGAAAAAAAATTTGTTTGACATATTTTCGAGGAATTCATATTTAAAAACAAAAAAAAAAAAAAAAATAAAATAAAATTACCTTAAAAAATTCACACTAGTATCAGAAAGTGGGATTTTTATCAAAAGTAATTTTCCTGATTGGATTACTTCCGAAATTTATGCTTTGGAAAGTGGGGTCGTCGAAAGCTCCGGCGGGGGCACAGATACATGTCAATCGAAACTTCTCGGGCCTTTCCGACAAGCGGAAACACAATTGACGGAAAGACCCGAGACAATGCGATTGTGGGATGGGTTGGGGGGGGGGGGGGCTTGGTGTCCCCAAATATCAGCATTAACTCCTTAAGTCAACAAAATATTTATTTCTTCAAAAGAAAAAAATATTTATGGTGATGATATGAGTAAATGGTTAGTGTTGGTGCGACTTTCTTGTGTGCGAATTGGTATATTTTGCAATCGACTAACTTACGAATGAGTTAACTTGATTATTTTAAAAATGGCGTCGAAGGTAAATCGAAATCTGCAAGTTTTTAACTCTAATCTTTAATATGTTGACGGTGCGACCGTTGGGGCGAGCGCATATTGTTCACTTAATTCTAAGATTCGCCTCTTCAAACCACATTTGGAATGTCTAGACTGTGACGTCACATGACGTCGTTTGTTAGCTGCATTTCCATCAACGAAGTTTTAAAAGTGCAAAAATTTAAACAAAGAACGTTTAATCTATCTGTATGCAATATCCATTAAATTAAGGTGAGTTTATATTTGTGAATTTTTAGTTGTTGTTACCGCGTGAACGAAGTTAGCAGCGAGAACAACAAGCGATGCATTGTGGGTCCAGAATTACTGCGGAAAAAAGTTCTATTGAATGAATGTGCAGTAGTCCGAATTTTCTCTTCGCTCAGGCGTTGTCGTTAGAACTCGAAATGCTTCAGGAACGAATTGTGTGACGTCACGTAGACCCTCATGGCGACTGATTCTTTTCAAAATGTCGTTAACGTTGGATTTAAGCGTCTAGTACGGCAATTGAGAGGGTAATCGGACCAGAAATCAGGTTAGAAACATCGACTGACATGAATTATACCACGTTTTTTTGTTAGTTTTATTAAATAAAGTGCCAGAGCAGAATTAGCCAAAAAACGCGTTGCATTCCTGTCGCTTTGCTCGCTACGCTCGTGAAGCTCACTGGTTGTTGTTTACGTTGCTTTATGGATAAAACTGACGACTCCTGTGTTTCATAATAAGGTTATGCTAACAGAAAATAACAAACAAACGAGGGTTCTCACTAGGATTTTGCTACCTTGAGTCCTGGTACTAACTTAAGTCCCAGGACTCAAGGTTTCTGAGAAAGTTGAGTCCCAGCTTTATTGATGCGTCCCAGAAAAATTATGTTGAGCTGTTGAGGCCAATTGGATTATCCTTCCTTTCAAACATAGCTCTGAAATAGGTGACAATTTTGATAGTCTCAATTTTAGACGCAGAAGGGTTATCAACAATTATTATAGTAGATGATTTGTGTATTGTTATAGTGGAAGAATTTTTTAGGAACACATGGTTACTTAATCTCAGCAAGATTCGTCAAGACTAAATTTTGGACTGATATCTTTTCGAATCTCAGCCCATGCCACACAAAGTGATTCTGGAAATATTACCCGAATTTCAAATGCTTGTTACAATCAAAATAGCTTCCACTTTTCACTTTGGACATCCTTTTAATTCCTGTCTCTATAAAACTTTTGTTTCTTGCCTGGAAAAGGTTTAAATCCAACCAAAATCAAGTTGTTGATGTTTTCATTGCACTGACATATTCGCTTAAACCTCCGACATTGAAGAGTTCTAGCAATAGTCTGCTTCAAATTCTTTGTTTTACTATGATTTCCTATAGATATGAATCATAGTACGAAGTATTTAAAGCAGACTTTTGCTGAAACTCTTTGGTTACCTAAATAATTCAAGCTTTGTACTGAATATCTAGTGATTCCACAGGATCTGTTTATATTGCAGATAAGGGATAAATTTCAACTCGATAATATAACAGTTTTTGTGAGGTTTATTTCAATTGTAGATTAAAACAGATACACCATCGAGCACCTCCAGAGGGATGGAGACTGGAAGCCCCACAACAGAGGAACTAGAACAGAACACAGAATCCACCAGCAACATAGACATGACAGGTATAAGGATATTTGTAATATGCAGACCACCATAACAAATAGATAAAAGTAACACTCTCAAAAATTATTTAATTGGTTAAAAGAATACTTTTATGTGGAATAAATTATAATATAAACTTCTTTTTCCAAACAGATTTCTGGAAATTGTTTTTACATACCTTTTTTCTCTTTTGAGGACAAAAGACGAAATAATCAGCTTGTCCAGGAAACAGTTATATTAATTTTTTTTGCAATTTTTTAATATTATGGTGAGACCATTTGGACAAGACACACATTTACAAAGTTTACACTTTTAACTTTGGAATTGATCCACCTTCTCATACTTCAAAACTCATTAGACACATGCAGTCAAAAATGTGCCATCAAATGATGTTGTGTTTTAGTTGCACTTCCATTAGGGAGTAAATAGTTCAGTATTTTAATGAAAGGTATTTTAAAGTAGATGAGATGAAATTACTTTTTGTTTCTTTACTGTTTAAGCTCTCTTCAAGAACTAAATCATTACAAAAACTGCAGATCTGTTATAATTGCCATTATCATGATTATCGTAAGGAAATTTGACAGCCAAAGATTTCTGGGAAGGTTTCACACTAAAATTTGCTTCATACCGGGGTATACAGATTATATTTGAATTTTCTCTGTTCTTACATAATCTATCATGGCCTATTGAGCTCACTTTGTAAATGTCATTTTGAGCTGCTCAGTGTAGTGACTATTAAATGTGTAATTTAATAGTTAACCTTATCATGCTTATATTGTCTTAAGTTTTTATCATAATCAGATTAGTACTAAAACAATAATTTAAAGAAGAGATACATGTATATATATTCACCATATATTTAAAGGAAAAAAATAAGTAAAATATCCAGACCAAAAAAAAATTTAATCCATCTGTGGAGTTATGAATTTGAAAAAAATGAATTTAAAATTTCTTTCAACAAACACAACTTTCCACTCCAAAAAACCCCCCAAAAACATTAGAAATTCCTGTGTCAAAAAAAGACTGGTACCTCCTCAATAGTGACACATGCTGTACAGTTTGTTTCAGGGCAAGTAAAAGCACTGGGAAAACTGGGTATTTTTCCCATGGTTAAGTTAGTGCATACATTATTTTCGAGGATCAGTAGATAAAGCTGACATCGATTCATTTGTCGGCCAATCTGAGAGTCCAAACAATCAGTGAAACTAATATCTTGATTCAATTTGTGACAGATAAGCTTGAGAAGGGCTCATCTCTCCCACTGTCCTCGGATTCCACGAGTCGGAGCCGTGTGGATGCAGATGACATCAGTACGTGTTCCAGTGCTTCCTCCACCACACAAACTCCTCCCGTTGTCAGTAAGAAATTTCCTGTCCGCCCGGGAATCAGCTGGAGGAAAGGAGAGAGACTAGAGGCCATGGACTTCAGCTCTAAATGGTCAGATAATTATCTAATAATTAATTTATAAATCAAGTGTAGCTCTAGCTGTTAGTCCAGATATTCGTGTACTGATTAGATTTCTATATGGTCAGATAATTATCCAGTAATTAATTTATATAGATTAATTATAGTGCCAGTAAAACAAGATGTTCACATATTGATTAGTGAATAAATAATTACAACTCTAGCATCATCATCAGGCCAGATAGGCCTTTGCCTTGATTTAATCTTCTGATCTGTCTGTCTGTTTTGATATTCCTATCATCTCTTAATGATGGTTAGATGGAGACGTGATACTGTATCAGTGTTATTGTTTAGCATTGGTCAAAGTCATGTATGAAAATTATACGATTTTAGGAGGGATTCTTGTCTGGTTTCTGACTAAATGAAATACATGTATTCAGTATATTTGCTTGTATGTCTTATATATTTAGATGTAAGGGGTTTTAAATATTTATATTTTCCTTTCCTCCTCATTATTGTACAACTTTAAATAGAAATTATAAACTGAGTTTGAAATCTAGCAGGGACTATAATTTTGGTGGAATGGCAGCGTATGAAAATATCTCCTTTTCTGCTTCTCAATATTACAACTCAATAATAAATTTAGTTAAAAACAATCAAAAACTTAAAGAAATTTTCTAATTTAACTTAAATTAATAATTATGGACTAAAAGTTTTAAAATATATCAATTTTGTATGATTTTCCTAATGTTCTAACAACACTCTCGTTAGCTTTTAAAAGCTTTCGATCTAAGAACTGATTTAAGCAAAAACTCAGTAAAAAGTCTTATTTCTATCTAAATAAATGGCCAAAACTTTGAATTTTTGTATCATTTTGTATCTTTTGATGACTTCTTTACAGTATGTGAAAATAAGAAAAATTTAAATATTCAAAGCATATTATGAAACTAATATTATCTGAAAATATAAGGAAATAGAGGAAACTCAGATTAGCCAATAATCTTTTGAAGTTTAATTAATTATATTAATTAGGTAGTTTCATCTCAAAGATCCTATATGATAACATCATTTTATGCAAAACAAAAAATGTTTAATTTTTTGAAATAGAAGTAATCATTACATGATTCGGAACAGTATCTTTTTATTCTTAACGACAATGGAAAAGATAATGACCTTGACCTGACCTTGCTTCTAAAATAAAATGTGTCGAATTGAATCTTATCGACACTATCACTTAGTGAGGTTGTCTTCTTGAAACAGTTAAAATTTCATTAATTTATATTTACATTTCCAAATATGTTTCCTTCAGATTCTTTGCATATTAGAGTATTGTTCATTGTCTCATGAACTACCATGGATGAGCATGAATATCTCCATTGTTACGTCATAATCCCGTGACTTGACATTAAAACTATAGTGCAGACTGTTTTGCTTTAAAAATGACAGTTGAATTGTGGCACCTAATCAGAAAAATAATGTAAATATAAGAAATGAATTTAATTTTTGAAAATTGATGAGGTACATGAACTACAACGCTTCACGCCGCTAATGCGCTTCATGAAATATGCCGGCGTTAAGCGTCGTAGTTCATGTCCTCATGAATCTTCAAAAGTTAAATTCATTTCTTAATTAAATACAATAAATATTAGAAGAATCCCTCCTTAAACGATTTTGTGACCATATGAACTGGTTATACTAAAGTATTCTACAAGTTAATCCTTTTAGACATTTTATTCCTGCACAAGTTTGTCTTTATTTGCCTCAGCAGTGATAATTGATTTGAAGTAGCCAGTTAAGATGCTAGGTACAAGGAATCTTATAATAAGCATCTGTTTTTAGATATTTTATTTATGTTCAGTTATCTTTACTTTGATGATCTGTGTTGACTGATATTCAGGTAGAAGGCTAAGATTGTATAGCTTTATATTATGAGCTGTGTTGTTCATTGTTTAGGTACCAGGCTAAGTTTGTGCTGTGTTGTTCATTTTGTTTTGGTACCAGGCTAAGATCGTGGTGCTTTGTTCGGTGTTTAGGTACCAGGCTAAGATTGTGCAGTGTTGCTCATTATTGAGGTCCCAGACTAAGATTGTGCTGTGTTGTTTCGTTGTTTAGGTACCAGGCTAAGATTGTGCTATGTTGTTCATTTTGTTTTGGTACCAGACTAAGATCTTGCTAAGTTGTTCCATTGTTTAGGTACCAGGCTAAGATTGTGCTGTGTTCTTTGTTATTTAGGTACCTGACTAAGATTGTATTGCATTTTTTAATGAGCTGCGTGGTTTGTTATTTAGGTACCAGGCTAAGATTGTATAGCTTTATTTGATGAGCTGCATTGTTTGTTGTGTAGGTACCAGGCTAAGATTGTATAGACTTATTTGATGAACTTTGTTGTTTGCTATTTAGGTACCAGGCTAAGATTGTATAGCTTTATTTGATGAGCTGCGTTGTTTGTTATTTAGGTACCAGGCTAAGATTGTATAGACTTATTTGATGAACTTTGTTGTTTTTTATTTAGGTACCAGGCTAAGATTGTGCTGTGTTGTTTTATATTTAGGTACCAGGCTAAGATTGTATAGAATTATTTGATGAGCTGTGTTGTTTGTTATTCAGGTACCAGGCTAAGATTGTATAGCTTTATTTCTTGAGCTGCATTGTTCATTATTCAGGTACCAGGCCAAGATTGTATAGTTTTATTTCTTGAGCTGCGTTGTTCATTATTCAGGTACCAGGCCAAGATTGTATAGTTTTATTTCTTGAGCTGCGTTGTTCATTATTCAGGTATCAGGCGAAGATCGTGGAGATTGATGAGGAAGAGAAGATGGTGATGATTCACTTTGACGGCTGGAATCAACGATACGATGAGTGGATAGAAATGGACTCAGAGAAACTGAGACCTAAAACGAGACACTCATCGCGGAAAGGGAGGGCCAAACAATCGGTAAGTATAAACCTTAAACAAGACATCACAGAAAGGAAGGGCCAAACAATCCGTAAGAAAGATGGAATTACGACAAAGTGTTAACAGTTATTATATGATATTTCTCAATCAAAAGAGAAAGCAGAAGATCATCTTCTAAACAATTTTTTTTATGGGATTATTCCTGTTAAATGAATGTGCTCTTTGGTATTACATATGTATGTTATGGGCATCCAAGAGATCTTGATTCCCTGCTATTATATATAATGAGTAAATTTTCTGTAAACAGGAATTCAAACTGGGTGATCATGTTTATGCCAAATGGACAGACTGCAAAATGTATCCTGGAAAAGTCACAGCTGTTCTGTCAGATGGTAATTGTAATTAATATATTAAGAGTTTTTAACATTTAATACAAGATGCTTTGAAATTTTAAATGAACTATATCTTAAAGAAAATTAATCCCTTTTTTCTCATCATAAAATTTCCCAGATTTAAGTATGATATATATAGTATTTTATGATATACTGTATTTTAATGAAAATTTCCCTTTTTCTTGACACAGGATCTTATGACATTCTGTTTTATGATGGCTTTAAGAAGACGGTACAGGGGATAAACATTAAGGCAATGCCTAAAGAGTTACAGCAACAGGTACAATACAAGGTCAAATCACAAATAACTTGTGAGCAAAATTATATGATAATCAAATAGGCTGTGTGATTTGTCATACATTGTTAGTCAGGTAGTTCATTAATGTCATGTCAAGTCATATGTAAGTAAGTCTCGGTTCCAATTAGGCCACATATCATATATGATTATTTAATAATTTACAGATTAATCTTTTATTACATTTTCAACAGTAAAATATTGTAATTATACCCCCCACATGCGAAGTTTAGGGTATATTGGAATCGGCATGTCCGTCTGTCTCCGTCTGTCTGTAGATGAGATTTTGTCCTGAACGTTTTTTGGAAACTGTTGCAAGGATTTGTCTGAAAATTTGTACACTTAATATTCACCATATGAAGGTGTGCACCTGGTATTTTCATCATGATTGGATATTTTTTTTGCATTTTACAGGTGTTTTTTTTTCATTTTTATTATGTGGTTTTGTCCGGATCTGTTCCCAGAGACTATTGCATAGATTTGTATGAAAATTTGTACACTTATTATTTACCATATGAAGATGTGCACCTGGTATTTTCAACATTATTTGATAATTTTTCTGCATTTTACAGGTGTTTTTTTTTTCTTTTTTATTGACTTAGTCATTTCGGGTTCATGTCTAAGTTTTTAGACATAGAATCTAGAACATCTGCACAAAAATGTGAACTACAGCTTAAAACTACTCATTAGAACTAAAAAAAAAATCACAAAGTATTAAAAACAGTTTTTACATTACACAGGGTCAGCATAGAGTGTAAATCCATTTGTCCCTTGGGAGTAATGAGTGGACATGCATCCAGTTAAAAATTAATGAGTTCAGTGTGGGAAGCTGTTAGGGCATCTCTGATCAAGCAGGTCTTATCTATATCTCCTGGGAATTGGGCAGAAGGAAATAAAGATCTCTGTTGTCAAAGTCTCTTAAATGTAATTTATGTCTGTCAAAATATATAGTTACTGGAACCAGCCTTTTATTTTTAAAATGAGTTTGATATAAAGGTATTAAGATTGATTTTGTATAATTAATTATGATATTTTTTTTTTTCACCAATCAATTTGCAGAGTGTCATGTCTCACAAAGATGACGGATAGTTGCTGACTATTTTTTCAATGTAATTAAAAACACTATAATTACTAGCACTGATGTTTTATTAGGCTGCACCTTAGTTTCGTTTAAAAAAAAGATATAATGAGTAATTAAATTTTCACTCTAAATGTTTAAGCAAATTGTGAACACCTCTCACATCTAGAAAACATTAGTGATTTGGTACCTTCTCTGAAAAACCCAACGCGGGGTATTTGTCCCTTTTGAACAGTTCTAGTTTTTTTATTGAATAAAATTGATATTTTTTCACAGTGTGAAAAAATGTAAGAAAGGCAGCAAAACTTGCAATTTTCCATATCTTCATAAAGAGTGTTGTAAAAATCCACCCCAGCCCTTTTTGAGGAAGAGAGACTAACTAAACTATCCTGACAGAGACAAAAATTGCTAAACTTTATCCAAAATGTTTTTAAATCCATTGTTAAAATTTTTAATTTCACAATTGCTTAGCTAGATAATAAGTCTCAACTGCTCAACTATGATTTTACAGACTATGACTGTGCAACAAAAGGACAAAGTCAAAGGAAATATCAAAGAAAATGAAATAAACAGAAAGTCCAATCTTTTGTAGTTGAATATGGAATTTATTTGTGAACAGCCAGGGGTGAGACTGAAAATCATCATTTTTGAAAATGATGATTTCTAGTCATAAACTTGAGTTTTAATAATGACTAAAATTCATCATTTTGTAGAATAATGATGAAAAACAGTCATAACTATTTGGAGTTTATTTTAAAATATAGAGTTACTTCTAAAAATAAATATGACTGTATTTCATCATTTTTTATCAAATTGTTAGGTCTGGGCGCATTTAATTATCTCCTTAGTTTTACGGGGCACACTAATTTATTTTGGTTTCAGTTGTTTGCCAAGATGTTTCTCTACACATGGGTCTACGGCAGGATAGGGTACTATATCTTATTACTGTAGTAAGTGGGTTGGGAAAATTCACTTGGGAATGGAAATATGATGAAAACAAGTCATATTTACAAAAATAATAAAAACAGGTACATTATGTAGTTAGAAAAAATGACAATTATCAATCATTTTTAAATATGACAGATTTCAGTCTCACCCCTGACTGGTGAAACAGGTTCTTTTCATATTTTTACTTGGGCTAATTCACATTAGTGAAGATATTCAAAAAAACGTGTCTCTTTGTAAAATAAATTCCATATCCAACTACAAAGCATTGAATATCCTGTATATACTAATATTAAAGTTTGACTGTCATTTCAACTACCCTTATGTTTATTATTTTCCCAGAATCTCAGAGCTCTAAGCTAATTTCAAACAAGCCTGTTTTTATTTTTGTAGAAAATAGAGATTGTTCATGTTTTACCCAAGGATGAGAGGAAAAGATCAATGGAAGAAGAAATAGGTGAGAGATTCAGCATAGACGCTGTGTAAAATGTGTGTTATTGATCTATACGAGAATCATTTTTACACCCCCTTCTGATCCTCTTATAATTGTAGCCTCTGAATTCTTCTGTCTTTTTTTGTTCATAGATGCTCTGTAAAATGTGTGTTGTTGATCTTTATGAGAATCATTTTTACACCCTCTTCTGGTCCTCTTATAATTGTAGTCTCGGAATTTTGTCTTTTTTTGTTCACTTTGTTTATTCAGTGTGTATATACTAGGTATTTAAGGGCATACATATGTGTATCTATTCAGCCAAAGCAATGGAATCTTCCATTTACACTACTGTCAATATTGTTTATTTTATATAGCCACTCTACCCAAGAAGAGGAGGAGCTCATCTATTTACTCCAGGAGGGAGGGCAGCTTAGGTAGGTGAAAAAAAATAAGAAGAGATAAATACACAGGTACAGAACTTGTATGAGACCATAGGGAAGTACTGTATAAACACACTGATATATGAGACATGTCACAGTTCTCTCTCCTGTAGTAGATGTATTAACATAGAAATAAAATCATAATTTCATAATTTGTCAATTGTTCTATCTTGATTTGTTAATTGTAACTTATCCAACATAACTTGAAAAGTGTAAAATGTAAATGCAAGTTATGTTAATGATAACGTTTAATTCATAGACTTGTGATTTGTCAACTTGTGAAATGTAATTTGTACTTTCGTGTTTTGTAAATTATGCAAGGTTGCATATTAAGATGAAAGAGGGCGATATAACAGCTGTATAAGGGTGGCAAGTTATTTCGCCTCAAAGCTAAAATAGATCCTTAACTGATTTTTAGCTCACCTGAGCCGAAGGCTCAAGTGAGCTTTTCTGATCACTTTTTGTCCGGCGTCCGTCTGTCTGTCCGTCTGTCTGTCTGTCTGTAAACTTTTTACATTTTCGACTTCTTCTCAAGAACCACCGGGCCAATTTCAACCAAACTTGCCACAAAGTATTCTTGGGTGATGGGGATTCAAATTTGTTCAAATGAAGGGCCACGCCTTCTTTCAAGGGGAGATAATAAAGAATTAGTGAAAAATTAATAGCATCTTTTAAAAATCTTCTTCTCAAGAACCACAGGGCCAGGAAAGATGAAACTCATGTGGAAGCATCCTCAGGTAGTGTAGATTCAAGTTTGTTCAAATCACGACCCCCGGGGGTAGGGCGGGGCCACAATGGAGGATCAAAGTTTTACATAGAAATATATAGAAAAAATCTTTAAAAATCTTCTTCTCAATAACAGCAAAGCCATGATAATTCATATTTTTATGGAAGCATCCTCAGGTAGTGTAGATTCAAGTTTGTTCAAATGATGACCCCCAGGGGAAGGGCGGGGCCACAATGGAGGATCAAAGTTTTACATAGAAATATATAGAAAAAATCTTCTGAAGAAGAACAGCAAAGCCATGATGAGTCATATTTATATGGAAGCATCCTCAGGTAGTGTAGATTCAAGTTTGTTCAAATCATGACCCCTGGGGGAAGGGTGGGGCCACAATGGAGGATCAAAGTTTTACATAGAAATATATAGGAAAAATCTTTAAAAATCTTCTGAAGAACAGCAAAGCCATGATGAGTCATATTTATATGGAAGCATCCTCAGGTGGTGTAGATTGTGTTTTGTTCAAATTATGACCCCCGGGGGTAGGGCGGGGCCACAATGGAGGATCAAAATCTTAAATAGAAATATATATAGGAAAATGTCTACTTCTGAAGAACTGCAAAGCCATGATTAGTCATTTTGATATGGAAGCATCCTCAGGTAGTGTAGATTCAAGTTTCTTAAAATGATGACCCCCCGGGGATAGGGTCGGGCCACAATGGGGGATCAAAAATTTTACATAGGAACATATAGGAAAATATTTTCTTCTCAAGAACTGAAAATCATATTGTTTAGTCATTTTGATATGAAAGCATCCTCAGGTAGTGTAAATTCAATTTTGTTCAAATGATGACCCCTGGGGGTAGGGTGGGGACCAGTGGGGGGTCAAAAGTTTTGCATAAAAACAGACAGAAAAAAATATTTCTTCTCAAGAACAGAAAAGCTATGTTTAGCCATATTGATATGGAAGCATCCTCAGGTAGTGTAGATTCAAGTTTGTTCAAATGATGACCCCTAGGATAGGGAGGAGTCACAATGGGGGATCAAATTTTTACAAAGGAATATATGGGAAAATGTTTTAAAAATCTTCTCAAGTACAACAAAGCCATTTGTTATATTGACATGAAAGCATCATCAGATAGTATAAAATTCAAGCCCCCCCCCCCCCCCCAAGTAATCTTTTTAATACTGAACTGATTTGTGCTTTTGCCTAGCCAATGTGCTCAGGTGAGCGATGTGGCCCATGGGCCTCTTGTTGTAATATGCATGCATATTATGCTTTCAAACGGTCTCTTAAGCTGTTTACAAATAAGATAGGTTAATACAGAAAAAGAACGGGTACTGTAAACCAACTTTTATTCGCGACGACTTTATTTCGTGATTTACCGGGGATAAACTAGTTCTCGACGATTAATTTTCGCGATCAAGCCTTTTTTGATCTGTTGTTAATAGAAAGAGAGACTTTAAGGACCTGTTCACGGCGAGAAATATTCGCAATGACGAGGCTCTCGCGAACCTCGCGAAAATTTCTTGCACGTGAATAAAAGTTGGTTTACAGTATTCCTTTATCTAAACACACAAAACTTCGCTTTTTGTTTATACAGAGGGCAGGCGCGGATCTGGGATTTTTTTTCAAAGGAGGCGGGGTCCACCCCAGTCAAAAAATTCCAAACCAGAAATTTTTTTTACAAGCCCCAAAAAAAGAACCTATTTCATGTTGGTGGTTGTGGTTTGTGTGTGGGGGGGGGAGGGGGGAGGGTTCCAAAGTAATTTTTTATTTGCTTCAGTATATCAGTATATATACATTTAATAACTCTGCACATTCTTCAATTGTTTTGAAGAAAAAAGATATAAAAAAAACACTTAACACATGATCACTTCAAATAATATTTAATTTAAATTTTCTGTATATACAAATTAATGTGTACTTTACAAAGACATTTATGGGTCTGTAAACACATTTTCAAGTTCCAGGAAATTTTTCTAAATGAGGGGGAAGGTTCATGTCCACTAAAAAAGTCATCTAAACACAAAATACCTATTTTTCGTGTGTGTGTGTGGGGGGGGGGGGGGGGGGGGGGTAATGGACATTTCTCGTTGATTAGCAGTTTCAAATATTTATATGACACTCCTACTTATTTAGGAGGGGTCCATAACTCCTGAAAGGGGGCTCCAAGGTTATTTCTTGAGTTTTACTGTATAAAATTCATAACTGAAAATCCGAGGGGGTCCAGACCTCTCCAACCCCCAACCCCCCTTCCTTGCTGAATCTGCCAGTAACACTACAGAAAAGGCTTTTAAAAATGTCAAAATTGAAAATTATACAGGATTGTTGGGAGTTTTTACTACAGTATACCCCTGCTAATATATTATTATTTACAAACAGTCTTAAGGTCAGATATGAAGTTAATTTATAAACTTTTCATCAGCCTTTCTTTATATATTTTTTATGGTAGGGCGAATTGGGGAAATGATTAAATTGTAAAGCAACTAATTAACTTGCCACCCTTATAGCGCCCCCTTTCGTCTTAATAGGCGTTAGCATAATGCAACCTTGCATAACTTACAAATCACGAAAATACAATTTACATTTCACAAGTTGACAAGTCGCAAGTCTACAAATTACACGTGAGCATCGACAACACTTGCATTTACATTTTACACTTGTCAGATTATGTTGGATAGTTACAATTAAAAAATTTTGATAGAACAATTGACAAATTATGTAATTATGATTTTACAATTAACAATTTCAGGTTTACATGTGTACATTTTAAGAATTACAGAGTTGGAATTTTTAACCCGTTGGCTTTCCATACTTCATAAAAACGAAAACAATAAAGGTTTGACTAATTGGTACATGGTTTAAAATACAGATAAAGCACCCAGAGATGTAGAGTCTACAAGGAAAGTGACAGAGAGGACAAGAAGTACGATTAGTGATGATGACAAGCGGAGGCCAAGCAAAGAACGTAGACAGAGGAAAGGTGATAAAAAGTTAATCATCGCAGGATCTTTGTTTAAGAAGCGAGATCGATCAACATCATCAGAGAGATCCAAAACAGGGAGCTGTTCCAGTAAAGAGTTAACAACTGATGAAACGATGGATAGCACGGGGAGTGCCATGGAACAGCCAGAGAGTACAGGGGGCTTAATGGAACAGCCACCAACAGAAGATTCTGGTGTTACGCCTCCTGCAGAACAGATGATGGTAACAGTCTAATAGTGTAAATTCTTTCCATAAAGTGCAATGTAGTGGAAGTGAAGATTTAATCCTTAAATTGACAGATCTGTGTTGTTTGTTTTTTAGGCAGATGTATCTGTTCCAGAGTCCACTGATTCTGAGGTTTCCTCAGTTATAAAAAAATCTACAGACACCCCAGTCACCCAGTCTACCCCCAGTCTGTCGGCACCACCTTCATCAGACCCCAGCACACAAGCAACCCCACCAACAGGAACTCCCTTACCTGGCCCAGGCTCACCTGAAGTACCTGTTGGGGCACCTGTTCCAGCCTCTGCCCCTAGTACTCCTGCCCCAGGCTTGATGTCCGCCCCTAGTACACCAATGGCTACCCCACTATCCTCCATGCCTCCTTCTCCAGCAAGCACTTTATCTGGTGGGTTTCTAGAGTTCATTTGGAATCTGTACAATAAAGAGCCAAGCAAGTGAGCTCTGTTTGTTATCTTGCAATGTTACAAATAATGAATGTGTACATGTATTTTTAAGAAACCTGTAAGTATTTAACTAAAAATTCAGTTGTCTATGTAAATGCTTCAGATGTTAATCAGATGCATCCGTGATCTGATCATGTTTTCTTCTATATCTATAGCAGTGTCATCTTCCCCATCAACTCCAAAACAGTCTCCAAGTATGAAGACAGACGGCACACATTCAGCAGGAGCCGGACCTTCTCTGGAACTCCCTACCTCAATACACCCACCCAAAGGCAAAAGTAAGTACATAAGTAAACACATCCTCATCCCAAAACTCCCACCCAAAGGCAAAAGTATGGACATCCCCACCCCAAAACTCCCATCCAAAAGCAGAGGCAAGCACAGAAGTAAGCACATAAAGAGGTATTTTATTCTCTCCACCCCCGCTATTCCACCATCCCACCACTAACGATCAGATATAATCCTGGACACAACTTGCAAGTCTTTTGCATCATGTTGTGTGAAAATGTAATGCTGCACAGATCAAGTTACTTAGATCTGGTAATAAGAGAAATACACTATAAATCAATTAAATTGTAGAAGACAGGAAGAGTCGTAAACAGACATTTTCTCCAATCACTCAGTCAGGAGAGAGTTCAGCGAGAAAGAGAAGTAAATCAACGGAAAAGGGAGAGAAATCTGATCAACCTCATTCCTCACGGAAAAGAAGCAGGTCTACTAACGAAAGAGGTACATTTACAACTTACAAGTTTGGTCATGAATGAAAAATGGAAATTTATTTTTCCGGCAACTTGTAAAATATAAATTCAGTATTTTACTAGATGAAGAAAAAAGTATTCTATCAATTAAATGTGACTCAACTGGAATAGATTTCCAAATGAAATAGGATGACATGTATTGCCAAGATATCAGATTCTGTATTTGAAATATTGTTATTAGAAGTTTAACTGTAATTGTGAATAATTAGTTAGTACAAACGTATATCTCATTACAAAGAGAATATTTTGGAGTCTTTTATCACCATTATATTTGACTCAGGAGAGAAATTAACTTGTTCTTACTGACTAGGGGACTGATCAGAAGAATGATTTAAATGCTCTTTGTTTAAAAGCCAACTACATTCTGGTGCCTGAGACTGCACTTCCACCAAAAGCGTTCGTCATTGAACCGGAACACAACCATTACAAGTGCACATTTGAGAACTGTAACAAAGGATTTCGTAAAGAAAGTCTCCTAGAATCTCACATCAAGTTCTACCACTCCAACGATGGCAAACCTCCACAAAACCCCCCGAGGAAACGCCGAAAAACATCCAGTATTTGTATGTAGATCATATTAACATTTCTGATTTTGGCAATTTTCTTCTTTTGTTTGATTTATGATTATTGAGCTAAATTTGAATAAACAATAGAAAAGATGATTTAGATTAACATTATTTTGGGGGGAGGGGTTTATTTTGAAAATTGTTTTAGAGAATTATCTTAACGTCATTGAGTAAATTCATCTTTATACATGTTAATGCTTCCCATCCTGAAATAATATCTTGTCATAACATGAGTAATATTTACTCTCCCTGACAGGTTCCACAGACTCCGACATTTCCATCACCCCCCGACAGAGATACCCCTCAAGTGGCTCCCTCTGTCGGCCGAGCACCTCACATGAGGGGACCACAGAAGTGACAGGCACAGACTCACTCAGTGCAGAGAGTCAGCCTCTATATGAGGGTAAGACATGTAGTTCTTACAAAGTCCATCCATTATTCTTTTCATTGATAGCTTTTGAAGCATCTGTTATTATGGTCTGTGTTAGTGGAGGAAATGCTGATTATTTAGTTCAGTTTTGTTATGAAGATAATTCATCGTTGGGCTCATTAGTTTAGGAGCACCCATTATACAGTTCATTATAGTTTAGCATTTCCTGCATAAACATATATATTTAAGTATTATCACTAATGCTATTTGTTAAACATTACAGGATTGAAGTCTGGAGAGAGGGCTCGTTCTATCGGTCAAGATGTCATGATAGCTGAGGAATCCATGGAAACAGAATATGAGGACACTCTGAGTAAAGATGAAGTTGTCAACTGTATCTGTCGATTTAATGAAGAAAACGGACTCATGATTCAGGTACTAACAAATCAAACTGTGTAACTATTATATAATTATACTGAGAGTCAGGGAAAGATTTAAGTGAATATTTTACTCAATATAATATTCAGTGTCTTAGAAATAATTTTCCATTAAATTTTTTTTGCTCAGATTGAAAGGGAAGCCTACATGTATATTCATTAATTTGACATTGCAAGTTGATATTCTACCCATCCTTCCACCTGCACATCCTCCCATATGTCGGTAACATTTGGGGCTTAACCACAACTCCTCCTATACCACTGATTAAAATTTTATGAAACTTTCACAAAATCTTCATTAAATAGTGCCATTGTGACCTTTTATTTTTTGTTTCAATTGGACACTTATTTGGGGTTTCTCATAGCAAAACTGGACACTGCCATTCTATCTATGACATAGGGGGTACCCATCTCCTATCCACAACTCCTCCTATACCACTGAATAAAATTTAAATAGTGCCATTGTGACCTTCTATTTTATGTGTTGATGGGACAGACATTCAGGGTTCTTCAAAATGAACTTTGCCACTATACAGATTTTGCATTAATTACATTTTAAACAAATCAAATTAATTGTTTTTAACCCTTGAAATATTTTATTAAAATTTTAGTATATCTCTCTCTGTAAATAGAGCTCTATGTAAATGCTTCAGATGTTAATCAGATGCATCCGTGATCTGATCACGTTTTCTTCTATATCTATAGCTCATTGCTCACAGTACCTCTAGTTTTGTGCTTGCTGAAAGTGATACAGAGTACAGACATTGATACTACTAGCCAGATAATGTTATAACTTCTTTCTGTTTCTAGTGTGATGTTTGTCTTTGCTGGCAGCATGCGACCTGTTTCGACATCACAGAGAGTACACTACCTAAAAAGTACATCTGTTATGTGTGTGAAAATCCTCCAGGTAAATAAAGTGACCGATAAATAACGGAAAATACACTACCAAAAAATATATCTGTTGCATGTTTGAAAATCCTCTAGGTAAATAGCAGAAAATAAACTTCTACAAAATAAGTGTGTCTGACATGTGTGTGAAAATCCCCAGGTAAATAAATATTGGAAAGACTATGATTTGTGACCTAAAACTGTGTCTGTTAAAAAAATGAAGAAAAGCTACCAAAAATTAAAATTATCCATTTTTGATGTCCCCCCTCTATTCATTATTATTCTGTAATTCAATATTATACTTTGTAGGAACCTGACACAATTACCTTTGTATACATTTATACATTTTCATACAATATTCTCTCTAGGAATTCGAGACAGTCGCCTTTATGTACATGACCAGGATTGGCTGAAACTAGGTCACATGGCTCACTTTGGATTTTTACCCAATCAGGAAGAAGATGAAAGTTGCTGCAGAACAGTCCAGGCCACACATGGCCTTGTGGGTGACCTACACAATGTGTCAGCAGTGATTCATGGCCTGAAACAAAAACTGAAGACTGTCAGGTATTCCTTGTTCTAAATCAAAAAGACAAATTGTTTTGATCAAGACTCAGAGTCAATAAATTGTAAGGAAATTAGGTACTTTTTTTTAAAAATATATTTTTAGTCCCTTGAAGAGTGGCTTGATTTTCAGTGCATCTCGTAAATTATTAAGGGGTCAGTTTTGATATACCTGACATTTTCTGTTAATAAAACCAGGCCCCAGGATCATGAAGCAATATATGCTTAAGTCAGTATTGTCTGAATTACATGTATTTATTATAATCAGGGAGGCCTGAGAGATTGTGATTAACTAATGACAAGGAGCACACTGTGTTCATTGTTATTAGTTTTCTGCAGTTGTAAGCCCAGTATAAAGACTACATTATTTATATTATTGTTGACAGAAAGAAAGATCGCAGAGATCCGATGCTTCAGATGTGGCTACAGAACCTTGACAATGTACAGTTTGACCCGATAGATCCTGATGTGGATAGTGAGAGCGAAGAGATAATCATGGACATTTCTACTGATCAAAATAAAAAGACTGAGGCCCAGGACCAAAATCCCGAATTAGGATCAGGAACTCATCAGAAGCCTCAGAAAGGGGAAGTCAGTGACAGTGCTTGTGTTAGTTTTAATACAGAGAAAGAGCAGCAAGTCAGTACAGAGCTACAGGAAACATCTGACAAAAGGGAAGAACTTGAGAGTGCTACAGATAAAACCGTGGGGGACCTTTCACAGGCCGGAAGAGGTACAACAGCACAAGATGGTGGTCTAGATAAAAACATTGTAAAATCAAACCATGAAATAATTTCTAAAGAAGAGGATACTTCTGTAAAACAGGAAAGCACTGGAGAGAAATCTGAAACCTGCAAACCAGAGAGTGAAAGTGATACAGCGAGTATAATTACATCAAACACTGACAAGACTGAAGTTAAGGCTAGTGGCTCAAACACAGGTAATGGTGAAGTCTCTTTAGCTGAGAGTGGGGAAGGAAAGAAAAATCAAATGGACCAATCAAATTACACACTGATTCCAGCAGAACAGTCTCAATCATTACATGGAGAATCTTGTGTAGATCAGTCTGTAAGGTCAGAGGTCAAGGTGGAAGATGTGTGTGATCTTTTGAACTCTGTAGATGTGGTGAAGGAAGATCCATTCAAACTCTGCGAGAGAAATCTTTTGGAGCACATTCTTCGTGTCCAGACAGAAATTGAACAGAGACTGGACCACATCGAGGAGCAAGTCTGTGGTAGGTCTATAATCCTTGAACTACAGTTCCTGCATTTCTATACAATGTCATATAGTAAATTACTTATTGAGCTCAACTTAAACATTTCAAGAAAGTGAAAAAGAAAAATATTTTTAAAATCATTTTTATCAATGCTGGAAGAATCCCACTATGCTGCTATTTAATATAAAGTAAAAATGAATTTTTATAACATTTCATGATGAACTATCAGTTTTAAAAACCAAGTCACATTCTGATTTGCTTCTTTTCTTTCCTATATGTATGAAACAATTTGATTATTTAAAAATTTAGCCAGGCACTTGAAGTTTTTGATTAATGAAGGAATTCCTGCCAGTTTTCATAACTATGTTAATAAGCATCATATAAACTTAATCATGTTGTATAAATCAATTTTCAGCACTGGAGGCCGCAGATTCCAACTTTTCCTCTGGTCCTTCTGACAGGGACTTGCTGTCTGACGTCCCGGCCCTCAAAAAAACATTATACCTGTTACAACATGACCTGGTCCGGGTCCAGCGAATGGCAGCCTACCATAGATAGCATGCCATCACTAGGTGCGGGTCCAGCAGAGGGTCCATTGTACAGATAGAACACTTTGTCCCAGTGGGTCCAGAAAACCACAGACTCATGTAGATAGCACCTGATCTGCATCACTCTGTGCCACTAGTTCCTTGAATGAATTTTTAAAATCAAATATCCCATACAGAAGATGACACAATCATGATTGTATATGCCAGAGAAGTGGTGCAGTTCCTGAATAGTAGTGTCCAAATATTAACTATAAAGTGCTCCTCCTGATAGAGACAATATGTCACAAATGGGGCATTCCTGTATAAACTTTTCTCCATGAGAGAACCAAATAGTCAATTTCCCTTCTCAATTTGAAATTTTTTTTCAAAGATTTAAAAAAAAATATGTTGGTCCCTTGCAAGACTCTCATTAAAGAACATTTTATGTTTCACCAGGTAGTATTTTGGACAAATAAAACATTGAAAATACATACTGGTATATCGGTGTTTTTTCTCACTGTAATCCTTGAATAATTTAATTCCGGTTGTAAGACACAAGTTTATTAGATAAATTCTTTAATAGCTTATAATGTGTATTGCCTTTGTCAAAATATGACTTTAGTACATCAAAAACATATCAATCTGCTTGACATCACATTTAAATTTTGAGAAGAAATAAGGTATTTAAAAACTTTTATCAGGATGTAAATACAGGTTGGTCATGTTATCAAATACCATGAAGCCAGAAAGGATTTATGGTAGATTTGATCACTAACCAACCAGTATTTGCATCCCAATAAATGTTTTAAATATATTGAGGTTAAGTGTATTGAAGACATTGACCACTTAGATGTCAATATGAAATTATGACTTTAATGACATTGAATGTATGGTCATGTGATGAACCCATTTATACACAGGCTTAAAATAGCTATACCCTCTCCTCAGCCAGGAAGGATAACTCTTTAATTTATCAATTAATTCAAAAGTCTCAAATCATCCTCAGGTAGTGTAGTTATTAGAAGATTATACGAATCACCACCCTTCGGGTAAGGTGGCACCACACAGGGGATCAAAATTATATATAGGAATATCTCGGAAATATATTGAAAAATCCTCATCTCTAGAACAGCAAAACCATGATCAGTCATATTTTCAGGTAGTGTAGATTGAAATTTATTCTTCAAATTTTTTTTATATTTAAATATATCGGATTTCCAACGTTTTGGCATGAGCATCATTGAAGAGACATAATTTGTTGAAATGCGCATTTGGTGCATCAAAATTGGTACTGTATTTCATTTACATTAAAAGCAAACCTCCTGGTTAAATGGATGGATCAAAGTTTAACATAGGAATATATAAAAGAAGTGTTTTAAAAAAAAATCCCGAGGAACGACAAAGCAATGATCAATCATGTTTAGCTGGAGTTCGAAGTATCTGCAGGCAGTGTAGATTCAGATTTGTTCAAATCATGACCCCAGGGAGTATGGTGGGGCCATAATGGGCAATCAAAGTTTAACATAGGGATACATAGGAGAATCTTTAAAAGTCCTTCTCAACAACAGCAAATTCATGATTAGTCATATTCTTTTGGAAGCATCCTCAGGTAGTTCAGATTGAAGTTTGTTCAAATCATGAACCCTTGGGGTAGGGTGGGGCCATAAAAAGTTCTCTCAGTTTTACAGAATATGTAGGAAAACGAATCTGCTGATGAAGAACTGAAGGGCAATAGTTACTCAGGTAAACATTGTGACCCATGGACCTTTTGTTGACTTTGACCTTTCCTTGACCTCACTTTTCTTAAATTTGTGTTTAGCTAAGTTTCAAATGAACAATGCAAGAAATTTTTTAATCAAACTTCATATGCATATACATATTGATAAAAGCTTTTTTTAACGTCAAAGTTTTTGACCCTGACTTCTTTTGCCTTTTCTCGAATTTACATTTAGCTCAGTTTAAAGAAACATGCAATTCAAGATATTTTTATCGAACTTCATTTGCTGTGTTTTTTGGTGAGTGGTATTATACTGCATCAAAAAAATTATTTTGACTTTTCCTTTGACCTTGACAATACTTTTGTTAAATTTGCATTTAACTTAGTTTCAAAGAAACTGTTCAAGATATTTTTATGTAAGCTTATGCAGTGATATATAATTCGCGGAAATTAACATGATACATAGAGGATATTCAATGTTTTGTAGATGAATATGGAATTTATTTCACGAGTGGGACAGGATTTTTTTTATATTTTCACGAGTGCGAAGCACGAGTGAAAATATTAAAAAATCCTGTCTCACGAGTGAAATAAATTCCATATTCATCTACAAAACATTGACTTTTCTGTTTATTTCATTTTCTTTGATATTCCCTTTGCCTCTGTCTTTTCTTAAACCAGTGTCATAGGCTTGACGTCATAGTTGAGCGGTTGAGACGTCATAGCTTAGCTGTTGTGAGATTGAAAACATTACATAGCATGGATTTTAGCAACATATTTGGGAAAAAATGTGCAGTTTTAGCTCTATCAAGGTGGTTAGTTACTATCTCTATCTTATTGATAGACCAGAAATTTTTTACTTACTTGATATCCTTTCACACTGTGAGAGAATATCACTTTTATTCAATAAATAAATCACAGTATTTCACTGTTGAAAAATGTAATAAACTGATTTATTATATGTGCCCAGTTTCAGTTTTACCATAACCTTCTTAATGTCCTTTGATTTTACTATTTATTGTGTATAAATCTCATGTTTAACAAAACTAATTCAATATATTATACTTTCATGTAAATTAGTTGAATCTGATTCGTCGAGAAACATTTGTTAAAAAACACTATTACCCGCTGAATGATGAAGCCACACCCTCTAGCGTAGCAACAGTCAACATTGCTTGACGACGGGTGATATTCCAAAAAATAGTGACTGCGCAAAATTTATGCGCGCAAGGATCACTGTTATATGTATTTGTATAAAACATTCAGTATAATATAATAAATATTGCATGTAGTTGAGTGTAACATTGAAAATTTTCACCCCAAGAAAACCATTGTCAACCTCGGCTGCGCCTCGGTTGACAATGGTTTTCTTGGGGTGAAAATTTTCAATGTTACACTCAACTACATGCAATATTTATATAATATTTTCACCAAACTTCATAGTTCAATGGGATATATCAAGTCAAGATATGAAGACTCTTTCAGTAATTGCCTCGTTTTAGAAATGGATCCAATGTAGAGCATACTCTTGCGTATCGAATCAACTTCGAGAAAGAAACTCCATATGCAGATGATTATAGTGTATTGCAATAAACGTTGAAGTCATCACCTGTACCATATTTTTGTCTTAGGTTGCCATTAAATATTTTAGTAAAATACCGGTATCCAATATGAAACAGATGAATCAGACTCGTGGTTTCTTTTATTTGGAGATCAAAGGGATATATCAAATAAATGTTTGAATGAAAATGAATATATACTTTTTTCATGTAGAAAGTTGTGAAAAATTCTGCTTCGTATAAATACAAAAATAGGTCAGTTGTTAGTTTTGTGGATTCCAACAGATTGTTGGAAGACTTGATTCCCAAAATACTACATAGATATTGTTAATCAGAAACTCAAGCATCCTTTTTAATATTAACATTTGAGAACTTGTGCATGTTGTTTGTACAATCAAAATGTTTTTAAACAAATAATTTTGCAAATGACCAATGGCACGGTAAGTAAATTTACGAGTTCCTTTTTTTTTTTTTATTGAAAAAGCAGTCATGTATGATATCAAAAAGCTTAGATTTTAATTTGTCGTGTGAAATAGTTGTAAAACATGTTAAAAAGTTGTACGTAGTATTACGTATTGATGTTTTTAAGTTTGGTAAAATTTTGTGATTTAAAATTTTCTAAAAGTTTATAGGATTTAAGTATCAACATTTGATTTAGACTGTTTCTCGGATGTATTGTACAATACTCATAAAGTTTCTCATTTAGAAATAGGCCTGGTAGAACATTTAACAAAACCAGCTGTATGTATCTTTGTAAGAATTTTTATGTAGTTTAGGAATTCAATATACATATGGTAATATAGATTCAATCTGATTGTTGGGAATATTAAAAATATTTAAAACTGACATGATTTTGAAGAATTTCTTCCTTAGAAAGAGAGCTATGGATATAATTTGGGAGAACACTTGCAGAATTAAATCCCAGTTCTTTTAAAATACAATTAGAATAATGAGCCTTACAAACAAAGACAATGTTGTTACCTGCTTTGTCGGCTGGGACCAGTTCATATTGATCGTGTAAACTTATTCCTTTTTAACTCCTAAATTATTGAAGACAGAGATGATTTTCACATTGCCCCTCAATCGCTTAATGCGAAATTTCAAAACCTATCTAGTATTCTAATCTATATTCTCACAAAGTGTCAAAGTTTTTTTTTTATGTTTGGCCTATCGTCCGGCGTAATCTTGCACGGAATACATAATATTTATGAAATTAAGACGCCACTTGCTGTGGCCTTCAACTCGACATTTAGCTATATCGACGACGTATTGTCAATTAAAAATGGTTATTTCCATTTTTATGTCGATACGATATATCCCGGTGAGCTTGAGATAAAAGATTCCACATAGTCTGACACGTCTGTTTCATATTTGGATATTTTATTAGAAATAGACGTTAATGGTAATCTAATAAACGTGATGACTTTAACTTTTCAATCGTCATCTTCCCTTACCTATGCAGCAATCACCCTTATCACCTGCATACGGGGTTATATCTCTCAGTTGATTCGATACACAAGAGCATGCTCTACGTATGAACAATTTCTAAAACGAAGTAAGTTTTTGACAAACAAGTTGATGAAACAAGAATATCAGCAGTCTCGTTTAAAGTCATCATTTCGTAAGTCCTATGGTCGATACAATGACCTTGTCAGCAAATACAATCTATCATTAAGTCAAATGCTGATTGACTTTTTTCATACTAATTGTTAGGCCATTATTTACACACTGAATTGTCGACGGATTTTCCCGTTATTTCCCGATCATGACAAAAAGCACACGGCGGGTGTGATCGGTCGGCAGGGGATGCTCACTCCTCCATGGCACCTGATCCCACCTCCGATGTCTTAAAGGTCCGTGTTTGCTCTGCTCTTATTTTGCAATGTTTAATGGTCTTTTGAGCTCGAATACTGTTCGTTATCTCCACATATTTCATTGAAAGATATTGGGGTTCCCTAGATTGTGGTCTTTTAAAAAGTGGTAAGTCCGGAAGCAATAGTCGATGCATTTTTGTTAGAAATACAATATTTGGACTTGAACTTAACGTATGATGGAATACAAAATCCTACTGTGATCAAGAATATGACTTATATTAACTGCTTCAACTCCTTTATTGGCATATTGAAGTTAAAGGAACAAACATTTTGTTGCAGCAGTATATTTCTTTCCGTAAGACGTGGCTATTTAAAAAAGCAATATCCAAAATCACAGATCTGAGCTTATATTCTGGTGTCAAAGAATCTAAATACGTAAATTCCTTGACTTCTTCAAAAACGTATTTAAAATTTTCAAAGTGACAGAGTCAAGTTTAATTGGAGCGAATTTGTTGATGACCTGTTTATCTAAATAGGATAGTAATTAATTAATTAATAGGTTTATTGTAAGACCGATGTTCATGGCTACGCTTACCTCTAGCTTATAATGAGTACTGTTAAAAAGTCCCATCATATTAACATACAGGTACTTTGAACCTAAACACTATCGACATTGTAATTGCTATATATGGAAAGGCCTTGCCTAGTTTTCTAATCCAGTATTCTTCTCTTTGTCTACGGAAAAGTGTTCTCAGTGATGGCTATTAGTATGATGACAAGTGTTTTCTGGAATTCTAACTTTCATTGATGAAATAGAATGGTCAGGTAAATTAAAGTACTTGTATAGAAGCTACTGAACCTCGTTGTTATTTTGAAATCTTTGCCCCAATATTCTTTTATTAAGTTAACTTTTGGTTTCACTAACATAGATAAAACTACAAAGGGCGCGTCCTGTTTAATAGATAACATTAGAAGACTGGCAATTCAGGTTGTCTTAGGTTTTGGTTTAGAAGCTTTAATTTGTCCAGTAAGAATAACTTGTAAAAGCTTGTGTACTACGCATGAATGAATAAGTACCGAACGACAAGTATCCTCGGGGACAGACTGTCCACCAGCAGAGATACATGTTCAGTGGTTCAAATGGAACATGGAGTAAACGAACAGTAACCAAGCTCAAAATTTAACCAAACAGTACAAATCGGGAGCAGAGCAAATACAGACCTCTAAACATTTGGTGGGATCAGGTGTCATAGAGGAGTAAACATCCTCTGTGGACCGGTCTCACTCGCCATGTCTTCCTTGTCATGATCAAGAAAACGGAAAAAAAAAATCTGTAGACGATTCTTTGTATAAAAACTGACCTAACAATTATTATGAAAAACGCCAGTTAGCATTTTCCTAAATGATATGATGAATTTTTTTTTCCTGACATGGTCATTGTATCGCCAATGGAACTTGCGAAATGATGACTTTAAACGAGGCAGGTGATATCCTTGTTTAATTTACTTGTTTGTCAATAGCTTGTCTTGTTTTAGAAAAAAGTTCCGATGTAGAACATGCTCCTGTGTATCGAATCAGCTTGGAGATATACTCTGTATGCAGTTGATAATAGTATATTGGTACATCAATAAGGGAAGTTGAAGATAGAAACGTTGAAGTTATCACGTTTTTCATGAAGTATTGATGTTAGGTTTCCATGAACTTCTTTTTGTAGTAAAATATCTAAATTTGAAACAAATGTGATGTGTCAGATTGTGGCATTTTTTATTTCAAGTTCACTAGGATATATCGAGCCGACATATGGGTGGAAATAACTTTTGTTAATTGATAATACGTCGTCAATATATCGAAATGTCGAGTTGAAGACCAAACATTTTCTTCTCATGTATCAGTTTTTGAATAAATTCTGCTTTAAATGAATAAATTTTATTCTGATAATAACGGGGCGCATTTGGTACCCATGGGAATTTCCAAATTGTTGGAAGACCTGATCTCCAAAAAGTACATAAACATTGTCAATCAGAAATGCAAGTATGTTTTTGATATCAATTTGAAAATTTCAGAGTACTTGTGTGTGTACTATTAATTTTTTTTCAACAAGATAATTTTGCAAATGACCATTGACGAGTTCCATTTTAAATGAAAACGGAGCTGTCAATGATGTCAAAAAGCCTGGACTTTAATTTATCATGGGGGAATAGTTGTTTAAAGTTTTAAAAAGTCGTAAGTGTTAATGTTTTGAATTTTGTATATTTTTGTGATTTCAAATTTTCTAAAATTTTCTTGGAATTTTTAAATATCCACATCTGCTTTACACCACATCTCGAATATATTGTAGTACGGTACTCCTGAAGTTTCCTATTCACTGCTAGTGTGGTTCATCTTCTTGTTTCATCAACTTGTTTGTCAATAACTTACCTCGTTTTAGAAACTGTTCATACGTAGAGCATGCTCTTGCGTATCAAAACAACTGAGAGATATATACCCCATATGCAGGTGATGAAGGTATATTGCTGTATAGGTAAGGGAATTAAGTTGACGATTGAAATGTTAAAGTCATCACGTTTATCATACAGCATTGTTGTTTAATTACCATTAACGTCTTTTCTAGTAAAATATCCAAATATTAAACAGATGTGTCAGACTCTGTTGCATCTTTTATTTCAAGCTCACCGGGATATATCGTGTCGACATATGAATGGAAATAACTTTTGTTAATTGATAATACGTCGTCGATATACCTAAGTGTCGAGTTGAAGGCCACAGCAAGAGATTTCTTTTTCTCATGTATAACAGTCATTCTACGATAAATGGACCAATTCATTGATTGCATAAAACATGAAAAAATAATTGTTTCAAATAGCAAAATGAACATCATAATTCTCTAAAGGACATATCAGTGAACTTGAAAAAAAAAGAATTGACCACAAATCTAGTATCTTTAACTTTTTACAACAATTTTAATATACCATTGATTTTAAGGTAATGTTACGGAAGTTAATGCTTGAACAAGTCTTATTATTTTTTAAATAAAGCTGATATTGACCGATTTTTCGTTTCTGACGTTCAGTATATAACGCGACGCTATGATTCAGGAAGTCTCGCATGAATCCGAAATTAAGTTAAAATTTCGGGAAAAATATCGTTACGGAAGTTAATCGTTACGGAAGTTAATTCCCATCAATAAAAGTTAAAATTCTCGGCAATAGTTATAATTAAGGTTTGTTTTAGGATATTAAACAAAAGTATGAAGCAGTTCGCTCCCAAAATGATAAAAATCTTTATACCGGAAGTTAATTTTTAAGACAGACAACTGTTTTTTGTCTAATTTATTTTGTTATGTCGAAAATATAATCGTATAAATAGCTGACTCGCAACTAGAAACGATGATATTTGGTTCCGTGGTCACTTTCAGATAAGTTTCAGTTCTATTTGAAATCTCCATTCTGTGCGTGAAACTTAAAACAAAATCGTTACGGAAGTTAATCGATTTTTAGTGACATGCTATAATTTCGCATTAAAGAAAATCCATGCATTTCTTTGCGAGAAGTGGTTTGATTTCTTTATATATATAAAAACTTTCTTTAACATTCATTACAATCTATTCGGAACTCTTTTACGACTGAAAATTTCATCTTGAAATTTGTAAATAAATGAAGCGACATTAAGATTTGCAGTGGAATACGTTTTTCAACATTACATTATGTTCATATCAAAACTGTAACTGCATATATATCGGTAAATATTTACAAAACCGCGTGTGTATGTTAAGTCTTAGAGTTGAAATCGATCTTTAAATTTATAGTTTAGATATTACAGCGGTAAATTTGTAAGCGACATAAAAAATCTTAATTGGTCATGTTTTTGTAGAATGACCGATGAGATTTTGAATAAATTCTGCTTCATATGAATGAAGTAGAATTTATTCAAAATCTTAATAGGTCTGCTAAAAACAGGGCGCAATTGGTACCCATGGAAATTCCAACAGATTGTTGGAGGACCTGGTCTCCAAAAACCACAAAGATATTTAAATCAGAAACTCAAGAATCTTTTTAATATCAACTTCAAAGTACTTGCGTGTACAATCAGAATGTTTTTTTAATAAAAGAATTTTGCAAATAACCAATGACAAGGTAAGTAAATTTACGATTTCCATTTTATTGAAAAAGCAGCTGTCAATGATGTCAAAAAGCCTGGACTTTAATTTATCGTGGGGAATGATTGTATACAGAGTAGAAAAGTATTTATGTTAGTGATTTTGGTAAAATTTTTTGATTTCAAATTTTCCAAAAGTTCCTTGGAATTTTAAAGTATCCACATCTGATTTACACCACTTCTCGAATATATTGTTGCACAGTCCTCCTGAAGTTTCTCCTTCATGCTGCTTATATTTTAGTGAGGAGTAAAGAAAGAGGCTTGTTAGATTATATATTGGGACCCGTTATGTATCTTTGTTTGTAAGGATTCTTATGAAATTTCGAAATTCAATATCCTTAACATCCAAGAATCTTTTATCAATCGCTTAAGGGACCCCATCTACAAATTTAATTTGAATATTAATGTTATTAAAATCGAGTTGTGTTTTCAATTTCTTTTAATTCCGTATCAATCTTTAAATTTAAGAGTGATGAAATCACGTAAACTGATTTAATTTGGTTTATCTATATTTAAAGCCATTTAAATGTTTGGATAGGCGGTCCCCACTTGTAATCCAGTTTTATGTCCTACGTCGTACGTCTGGATTTGAAGTGAGTTTCCCGCCATGGTGAGAGAACAGCTAGCATTTGGCCGGGTCAGTGTGCATGCGGTGTAGATTGCGATGTCAAACTCCGGACTTACACCAACAAAGAACGATCCTTTGGCTTTAGATAGTCCTTTCCAAGTAAATCTCGCAGCGACAATATTAAGAGGCTGAAAAACATACACAAAAATATACTATCCATCAAAAATCAAAGATTAGACTCTAAACACAATAATCTGGGACTTCAAAAATCCTATCCGTAATCTCTCTCTTAATCGTAGTCCCTAAATTGACTTTTGTATTCACCTGATTTTTAGACACCCAGCCTTGGTAGTTAATAGCAAATTTCTTTTCTTCTAAATAAAACTGAATCCAATTATGAAAACCGGAAACTTTTGATGAAGTTTCTCCAACCATCACGTGTTCAAATCCGCTACTGTTGATTGGTCCACGGCTGGATCTGGCGTACAGGTTAAACCACAGCTCCTTTAGTACTTCTCTGTAGGAAGCAACATCCGTCACGTGACCTTATAAATTAAAAGAAATCACACGTAGTATTCGAAGTATAATCTATGTACATTAAACCTAAGCGAAATACAATAAATTCAATTTATTCAAAAATATAAAAAAAAATCTATATATAAGTTCTTGATCATGAAATTTCATAAAAAAAATCATTATTTTAAATTTGAACCAAATTTAATTCAATTGACTGCAAACGTTTTACGTTTGACTGTGTGTTCTATTAAGCGCCTTTGGCAGAATCCAGCTTAAATGCAATCCGGTACCTTGCTAAATATCATGCATATATGCCTGATTAACCCTATATATATATATATATGATTGCGCCCATGGGAAAAGGGCCCTTATGGCAATTTTTACACATTTTAAGTTTTTCGTGGATATTAATAGAGCAAGGTAAGAAGTTGCCAAATCTGAATTTTTATGGCCCTACGTCAACTCTAAGTAGGTTTTTTCTTCATTTATATCAATGATACTTTTACAGGTAAACAATGACGTCATGTTACTTTCGCAGCAACGTCAAAAGTTTTCAGAGTGAACATGACTTTCACTTTGCATTGTAATGTTATTACGGTAGTAAATATATGTTATTGAGCATTTCCAGAACCATTTTTGAGTCATTGTCTCTTTTAATAATTGTATAATATGATAATAAATGGTTGTATTAACTATTATCCATCATGCAGTGGTGTATAGAATTATTAGTGGTTTTCGTTTGTTTGTTTTACATTTCACTATGCTGGAATGTCAGGAAAACCCGAGATTGGAGAAGCAAGCGGCTTCTGTTCAATATCAATTTATTCTCTCAAAACCAAAGTATTTATCTCATGTAATAATTTTTTGAGAAACTTGCAGAATTCTTTCGAAAATCATCTCATTTTAAGCATGGCTTTCGATGATAGGACAAGATGTCATTTTTTTGGGGGGGTGGGGGGGTGGGGGGGGGGTTGAATCTAGTATAAACGATATCTCTTTCAAAATGTGAAGTTAAAAAATATTTCAAAAAAATTCTCGGGAACAACAATAAAATAGATGCTGCTGGGTAGTGAAAATTTGTTGTTTTTTTTCTGTTTTTGTTTTCTAAATATAATTAGACAGAAAATTTATGAAATGTAGTGAGTTACCGTATACGCTGTACAACAATTTAAGGACATTAAGTTGATACACTGCATGTTAAGCAATATTCGATAAAAAAAATTTCAAACAGAAAATCAGAAAGACTTCTGCCCGCATGTGGTAACAAAACTTCTTTTTTTTTAAATTGAAATGATACACATTTTTTCAGTCACAGCAAGGAAAATTTTTGAATAAATAATTTTAAGTAAGCAGGTTGATAAATTATAAACAAATGGATGAAGAATAATTCACATGCATAAATGAAAGGAGCAGATCCAGGATGACCAGTAGTTGGATGGGGGTGGGGTGGGGGTGGGGGGTTAAATGTTAAATGACAGAAACATGCAATACGAGGGTTGCCGTATTTTTAAAATTTTAGGTGTGCAGGGGGGATGCCTTCCCACCACCAACCCCATAACCTCCAAATAGGTCATTTGGTTAGGTTTGAAATAATATTGAAATAATTCCTCAATTTATTTTTGCACCTTGAACTCTCTCCTTACGTACATGTATATGAGCAGGGTCATTTTCAAAACAAACAGCGATCATGAGCTCCACATGCCTGGAACTGGAAACTTAACTGCTATCAAATCTAGTTAATCATGAGAAAAATTGTGTCCTAGAATAACGATTTTGTTTGATTTTGTAAAATTAAATGGTTTTAGAAGAACATGTATAAACTGGGTATTAATAGATATCGGGTATTTTATTATAATTTCAACAAATTTTATCCAAACTTTGAATGAAATCAATATGTCATTTTTTAAAATTAATATCAAATAGATTTTTCTAAGAAATGAATCATAAATAATTATATATATGTTGTCGTTATGAATCAATGATATGCAGATTAATTAATAGATTTTTTCGGCTGGGGGGGGGGGGGTGTAAAAATTAATTGAAAGTTTTATATATCCAGTCAGTTAAATGCGACTGGTTCATAATATTCCTTGACTGGCTGAGTTTTTAAATGACAATTTTTTACGATGTGGCACACATTTAGGTACATGTAAATATTGTTATGTGATGGTGTGTGTAGACCCCCCCCCCCCCATTTCTCGCGGCTTCTTTATCGTATGAAATTCTAATGTTATTGTATATGAAGTATTCCATTCTGGCCCCATGCCAGAGACTTGTATATGCTTATCCTTGTAAAGCTTTACAGATACACTGTACAGTAGTTAGGTCCCGGTAATATAAAATGACCCTGTCCCTCTTCCCCGGTCTCCTGCACTGCCACAAAAATAAAAACTTGCAAACATATTCTTAGTCTTTTGTGCAGTATATTTTTAGCATTTAATTTGTACAATGCATGTTTAAATACAATTTGATTTTAACAAGATTTATTTCAATAAATCCAAATAACAAAATCAGTCCGTTTACATAATTAAACGGCAAGTTAAGCAATATCATACTAAACCGATAACTGAGATTATTATTTCAATAAGAAAACGAGTTTTAGATTGATAATAGAACTGTAATGACATACAATGCTGAGATTCTATGAATGACAAGGATTACATATATTTGACTTTTAAGTGACTAAAAACTGCAGATAAAGCTAAAACCTTTGAACTTTTTTATGCACACCAAAATGTTATATTTTCGAGTTACTGAAAATAAATAGACAGCAAAAGAAAAAAAAGAGATAGAGATTTCTTTTCATAATACGATATTGTTGTGTTTTTGAAAATTCGCCTTTTCATTAAAGTTTCACATTTCACATTGTATTAATAAACTGGATTTAATGTAACATCTCTCTCTCTCTCTCTTTCTCTCTCCCTCTCTCACACACACATCAGGTATACATACATGTAAACTTTTTTTAAGCTAGAACAATTAGAACAATTTTATTTCCTTCGGTAGTTTTGTTTGTTTTCAAGTATTTACATCGGAAGTGGCAACAACAAAAATAAGACGAAACAATTTTTTTTTAATTTCATTTTATTTTATTTAAATTTATTATCATTATTACCGAAAAAAAAATTAAAATTCAAGTTATTTAGAAAAATAATTTCATGTTAAAATAAATAGATGCACATATAACAGATTTAAAAAATAAATGAAAGTCTGGTTCAATGCAGCTTCTATTTTTTATTCTATTTTTTTTTCTCTTTCACTTTGACAGCAGCTAGTTCAACGAGCTAGTTCAAAGATACTTTTAAAGAAAATATAAATATAATACTTACATTTAAAACGTTTTTTTTTTAACTCATGATAAGTAAGATTTTTAAAAATATTTTTTATACTACGGGAGCAAATTTGTATGAGTATGTTGATTCTGAATGGTGTTTAAAAAAATAAAGTCCCTCTCTGGTACCTCTCTAGTATCTCGCTTGTCCGAGTTACCTCTCTTGTTTTTATTTATAGTTCTTAAAAATAATATCACGTCTGTCATTCGTTCGTACTTTTGCTAGGTTTGTGGAAACTTACAAGAATACTTTTCTTTTCTGTTGGAAGAAGTGTGATAAGTTTCAAATTTTTGGCAATTAAAGCATTTTACAACAAAAATTTATGCACGATGTAGATACCAATGCTTCAATGTTTACATGATCGATGTGTTGAGAATGGTGGGGCGGATCTTATACAGGAAAACGATTTTCTCTGCAATATTTTGATAATATACCCGTGTCTAACAAATAACTTCAATTTGTCTATATATCAAAATCGCTTTCGTTCATCCATATTCAATTATCCAGAAAATCACCTTGTCTGAAGCTTCTATACATGTATAGGAAATGCATACTCCAGCATGCTAGAGGTTCACGGCGAGATACTTTTGACTTGTCGCCGAGGTATATAACGAGCGTAGGGACGTTAACCGAGGCTCTTACTTGTAGGAGTAAGGAAATGCATAGCCCAGATCAGAGACGTATAAAGGTACAATAACATGTAGTAAAGAAACGGGTCTCGAATAAAATTATTTTAATTAATATCAGTGGACTAGAAGATCAAGACGTGAATTAAAGATATAAATGAAAATAAATTATATCAATGTTGAGAACAACGACAAAAGTGAGCTAGACGTGTCAAAACGTAAAACACGTGGATAAAAAAATCTGCGTCGACGCTCACCGTCTGCAACGTCATATCTTTATGACGTTATTTCTCTGTTTTAGCAAAATTGCCATAAGGCCCTTTTAATTGTCATGGGCGCAATCATATATATATATATATATATATATATATATATATATATATATATATATATATATATATATATATATATATATATATAAGAATGGCAACAACGAAAATCTAAGGAAACTCAGCTTTCAGAAAAAAATAACATTGAAATACTGTTTCACATCTTGAAAGACATTTTGTGAGTTTTGAGTTTCTCTGACTGTAAGGTTAATGTTGATAACCTCGTTCAAACTAGATTAAGTTGCAACAACCATATTTTAACTCAGTTAAAACCAGAACAATTATGGCATTATTATTTTACAACAAACACTTCATGCAGTCAAGTTAACTCTCTTATTGTGGACAAGACCTGTATAAGATATTTTGAGTAAAGTAACTGGTAGTGAGGTTGATCAAAATTCCATTCGTCTCATGTCAACCATCCTTAGAAATAAATTTCACAATTTTTTAGTTTAATAATTACATACCATGTTCCACGAGAAAGTTGTAAAGATGGTTCATGATATCTGTTGATAGTATAACGTCCAGGAAGGCGTCAATTTCCACCCATTCTGCACTGCCTTGACTCTCTGTTTGTGATGTACTTGGTGTGTAGTTGTCCAACAAAGCAACAAATGTTCGATAGGTTGCGCCGTGGGCCTATTTTGGGCCTTTTTTCAAAAACTACGTTGAGTGCCAAGGGCCTATTTTGGGCCTACCGTTAACTCATTACGTCACAAGTAAAACGGCATGACTATGACGTTCCGTCATCATTCTGCCGTTGGTTGCTGCCGTACATATTTTCAGTTCAAATTACGTACAGTGCCGTGACAGTTTTCTATTACGTTGAATCTATGATGTAACATAACTGTGACGTCACAAACAATGTAGGTAACTTAGGTATAAATGGTTTTTCGCCTCTGCAGAAAATCGTTAAAATAGAGACATTATAAAAGAACAAGTTCTACAACGACAGGCCTCTCCGAAAAAAAAAATACATTTACAGAACACACAAAATTTTTGCTCAAATAATATTTTTAGTAGATTAGGTAGAGGGTTATATTTTTTTTAAATAAGAACAATATGTAACGTCAAGTACCCGTGGGTCAAGTATATACTGCATAATATAATGATCGCAACACGAGTAAAGTAAAAAATATACAAATGCAGTGTAATTGAAACACAGTGATTCATAAAGAACTACTTATAAGTTTTAGGGATCTACATGTACCAGTGAAAGTACGTGTGTTCTTAAACATGGAAATTCTATCGGACTTGAAAACGGTTAATTTCGGTTCGTACACCTCATACATATTTTTGAACGTAGATCGACCTTACATATTATCACATGCACCAGGCCCGTAGCAATAGTTTTGAAAGTCAGGGGATCTTCACAAAAAATCTGACAAGCCCCCCCCCCCCCCCCAAAAAAAAAAAAAACATTGTTCTGAACGCAAAAATCCTATGTCGTATGTTTGGGGGTGGGGTGGTTCTTACTTTTTTTGGTGCACATTAAAAAAATCATTGAATTCGCCAGTGCTTGACCTTACAGCAAAAAAAGGATGTGGGGCAGCATCAAATAAAGATTTAATATTAAAAGATTTAACTCAGAAATAAGTGGGGTACCCCCCCCCCCCGCGCGTTATACGGGTCTGTGCACACTCACACCTTTCCCTGAACCACTTGTATTGTTTTAAATTATTATTATTTTATATTTGTTCAAACGTTTATATGTTGATTTTTTCCTGTCACATTTTGTAATCGTGTTATAAATAATAACCTGTAATACACCGAATAAGACGTACGTTACTTCCAATAGTAAGTTTTCTTCGTCCTTACCACCCTTGAACGGCAACTCGGATGCAATCTGTGGATTGTTTGAGTCAATCAAATGAAAAGACTTTGATTTATTAAAACTTATTTTGTCCTTTATTGTGATTTTATTACAACATTTTTCTACAGTGTTTATGACTTGAATCACAGGCATTTGTTTCTGTAATAATTTTTTGACCCATGGTGTAATAATGTTATTTTTATGCTATGGGTTAAAAAAATACAGAAACAAGTGCCAGTGCTTTGAATTTGGTGCAAGATATATAAACACCTTCAAGGTCCTTAAAAAATTAAGAAGCATTTCATTTGTTAAAACTAAATATTCCGTCAACATGTAACTTACAATGTGCGTCTACATGTACATGTAAGTAGAAATTGACCTTAAAAAGTATAAAAGTTTTCATATATTTTTAAAACAGAGTACACGATCATGCCAAACATTTTGCCGATCGGCATCACTTAATGTGCGATCCTACAACTGAAATAACATGGTTGATAAATAACGGACAAGGTTACTATGTATATATAAGTATATTATGATTTTTCAAAATTACAACGGAGCGGTTAGGAACATTTGAGCAAAGGGAAACGTTAATTGACATATCTAATTCATTAGAAATGCCACGCACAGCTGTTAGAAAATGAAGAAATATATTACAACTAGTTTAAGTTACGTTGAGAGGAAATCAAGATATTAGGGGTATTTGCCTGGGGTGGGGGGTGGTACTTGCCCCAATTTCGACCGACAAGATATTTTGCCTACCCTCTGATTGTAAATACCTACCACAATTCTTGCATTAATTTAATCACGAGAAGCATGCGAAAAAAGTATGACCCAGCTAATACCCCCCCCCCCCCCCCCGGCAGTTAAAATCAATAATTCGTGCCTAAAAGAAACCTGTATCGGTCATTTGAACAAACAGAATGAATGGAATTAATTGGATGGGGACATATAAACATGCAGAGGTTCTATGTCACAGTTGTTTCTTGCAGAAATAAGAGCCGTAATTGCTCAATGGACATAAGCAATCTTCTCCGGCAATTGGCGATGTCATGCACTGACTACATGTATTCCAGAATAGAAGGTTTATCTGTAAAGTTCCTTGTATCTTTGCCGAATTTCTTTGATTATGTGACATGTAATCTGTTGTAAACTGCATTTCTCTGTATAAAATAAACTCTTTGTTATGCTCCTGAGGTTAAAACTTTTTAAAATCGGTCAAATGGCTCTTCAAGGCTTAAATGTTACATTGTTAAACTGTATACTATACAATGCCGGTTTAAGATAAAAAAAAAATATTTACAAAAATTACAATATGATATTGCATTACTAGTATTTTCACGATCAAAACACTAAGTTCTTGTAGGTGATGGTAAATTATTCTCGTGTTTAATTAAGATAAATATTTTTTTTCTACCATTGGAACTTTGATTGCTTGTATAGTTCAGACTAGGATTTAAAATCTTGATAAAATTGCTTAATTTCAAATCAGAATGCATTGTTTACATTTTCTAAAGATCAAGACAAATGATTGATTGATTGATTATTATTGTTTAACGCCGAGTCGGCAATATTTCAGCCATATTTCGGCGATTAAATTAAGTGTATTTGCCCATTTATGAAGTTTTAGGTTTCTCTGGCGGCCCCAGTGAGCCTACTCTTTTTCGAAAACCAGAGAAACGATCTTTTATGTGCCATGGGGGTTGTTATCCTTGACACGGGGCACCATTTAACGTCCCATCCGATGGACTCAAAAATTTAAAAGTATGTAAACAGGTAAAATATATATACAAAATTCTTAAGTTATATCATTTTAAATTTTGCAGTAAAATTAGTTTCATGTAAAAATTCTAAAATTGTATAAACATTTATATTTGTAAAAAGTTCATGCATCGTTTGCACATTTTTAAAAAGTCTACTTCGAGAAGGAGAAAAATCGGTACATTCCAAAAGAATATGACTGATAGTTAACGGACATTCGCATGATATACATTCTGGTTGCAATTCTCGAGTGAGTAAATATTCATTTGTTATTTTTGAATGACCAATATGTATTCTAGAAATAATCACTTCGTCTTGACGTTTCATGCCGAAATCAGATGATTTGTTGACTTTGTTTTCTATAGCATAAAGCTTACTTGCATCACAAAATTCCCAATAAATCAAGACAAATGAAATACCCATTTAAAATTCCTTTTCTTTCAGATAATTTTCCAGTAAAAGAATGGTAAAATGATTGATTGTTTTCTTTAACAAGAGGCCAAAATGGCGCGAAACTCCGAATGATGACGGAACGTCATAATCAGTTTTACCTGTGACGTAATGAGTTAACAGTAGGCCCAAAATAGGCCCATGGCACTTAACGTAGTTTTTGAAAATAGGCCCAAAATAGGCCCGCGGCACAAAGAACGTTAAGGATACACCTAGAGAAATCCTACTTGCCTTTACAATATGACGTCATAGTAAGCTGTATGACGTGAACTTTAGAAACAATGATTTCTTAATATTTATATTTAAAGTTTAATTTCAGGTCCAAAAAATGGATGGAATCATTAAAAACATAATATAAACTAAACCTTGTCGTTTTTGGGTGGTATAAGTAGCTAATTATTTAGCACGGGGGTTAAATACCAAACCCATGACGTCATAACTATTGATCAACTATTTGCCGAGTGAAATTAAAGGTGACGAGAATTCATGTAAACAAATATATGAAATGGGAGTTTTAAAGCATATACCGTAAATGTTATGTGTGATTCATAAGAAATTAAAGATTAAGAATCAGGTACGCTGACATATTCTTATCATGTTTTCTTATAATGAACGCAGGCAGTGCTTTGAAATCCCGATCAGCCTTTCCTCTGTCGATCTATAACAACAAAGATGCAAAAGTTCAACACTATATCGCATACTTTGAAACATAATTTGTGTTTGTATCGAAAGCTTACATTCAATAGTACTTGGAAAGTGCTGCTAGAATCGTATGGTTAACATGAATTGATAACAATTCCATGATCGTATGTATAAAATGTAAAAATTTTGGTAAGGTTTCATGCGAAACTTTGGAACATTTTTTTCTGTGCCGGGAGAGTAGGATTCTAGCAGCACTTTTCATGGCCCAGTGATGTTTTTACATAATTATTTTCACTAAAAGAAAAGAATTATCTCCGGGGTAGTGCTGAACTTTTCACCTTTTCATTAAGGCAATTTTTCTATTTATAGACGTCACGTGATGACGTCGTAGTGGAGTGCTACTTTTAGCCTAAGACTCAATGACGTCTATACAATGGATAATAATAGTAAATGTTTTGTCTTTGGCTTTTCCGATTTATCATTGTTACATTTTACGAAAAAAGTCTAAATTCGCCGAAATATGATCTGCCTTAACATACCTGCGTGGCTTCTGGAACACGACTTCTTCTTGAAGATAGGTAAATAATCTAAAACATAAAACAGATTATTTTGGAAGTTGATTCTTTTTTTTTATGGCGTCAAACATAATTATTTCTTATAACTTTTTTCTTGTAAGAAGATTGCAAAAGCTAAAACTTCATTTAAAACCGAGCGCAGCGAGCGGCGCGAAGCGCCGCTCATCATTGCGAGCTCTAACGACAACGCCTGGGCGAAGAGAAAATTCGGACTACTGCACATTCATTCAATAGAATTTTTTTCCGCAGTAATTCTGACCCACAATGCATCGCTTCTTGTTCTCGCTGCTAACTTCGTTCACGCGGTGACAACAACTAAAATCTCACAAAAAATAAACTCACCTTAATTTAATGGCTATTGCATGCAGATAGTAGATTAAACGTTCTTTGTTAAATATTTGCACTTTTTAAACTGTGTTTATGGAAATGCAGCTAACATACCACGTCATGTGACGTCACAGTTTAGACGTTCCAAATGTCTCGTGCGGTTTGAAGAGGAGGATCTTAAAATGAAGTGAACAATGCGCTCGCCCCAACGGTTGCACCGTCAACATATTATTTAATATAATTATTATTGTGTTAGAATCTGTACAATTATGAAATCATTTCATGGTATCTACCTTACTTTTTCATGCATGAATTGTATAATTTTGTTTTACCCCTCTTTATAACCATAAAATACTTAACAAAAACTGTGATGATTTTCACATATATTGTAAAATTATTATTTCGATAATGAATATAGACTACGGATGTCTGGATTTCTCCGTTCATCCCTTCATGACAGACGAATGGGCCACAGAATCATTACACAGACTTAATTTGCACTGAAGTCAAAATTTTCAATTGCCTGTAAAATGCTTATTAATTATTGAATTATTTTCTAAATTTGCCGATAGCAACACTTTTGTAAAACAATATTAATTTATTTTTTATTTTGGTCTACTTGAACTTCTACAACATCTTAGTAAAACATAAAGATTTTGACTTACACTTAAGATGTTTTATGATCCCGGGGCTGGGTGTGACCGGTTGACAGGGGATGTTAACTTCTCCATGGCTCCTGACACCATCTCTGTTGTTTTCAGAGGTGCGTGTTTGCTCTGCTCACAATCTGTATTGCTTCTTTGGACTTTTAAACATAATAACTGCTCGTTTATTTTAAAATGTCTTTGCAAAAACATATTAAAGATATCCATACTTTTTACCTATGATAACTTACTTAGATATCCAACCTTGTGACTTCTTATCTTGTTCTTTAGATAACAAAACCTTGATTTGTTACCATGCTATTTAGAAACCTATACTTATTTGTTAAAATCTCATTTACAAATCTATTTTTCTGACTTTTTACAATCTTATTTACTCATGAAAAAGTGGCTCCATGATATTTATGTGATTTTTTTTAATTTGAAAATTATGCAAAAATCATGTAAAAATTATATACATGTTATTTGTTTTAGAACTTTTATATGAATTTTTTTGGCACGATATTTATGCGATATGCTCTTCATGTAAAATTCATTTGAAAGTTATGTCAAAATTGCATGAAGTTTTCGCATAGATTTCATGTGTCTTGTTTTTCGTCTCTTTCTCATGCTAAATATTCAAATGAATTTCATTCGAATATGATGTAATTTTTATGCGAGCCACTTTTTTTCTGTGTAGATATCCATACTTCTGACTACCTACAATATTTTTTACATGTATATATCCATACCTGTGACTACTTACATTGTTATTTACATGAAGTTACTAGTATCCATACTTTTGACCACTTACAATGTTATTTAGATATCGTTACTTCTGACTATTTACAATGTTATTTAGATATCCATATTTCTGATGTCTTACAATGTTATTAAGATATCCATATTTCTGACTTCTTACAATGTTATTTAGATATCCATATTTCTGACTTCTTACAATGTTATTTAGATATCCATATTTCTGATGTCTTACAATGTGATTTAGATATCCATATTTCTGATGTCTTACAATGTGATTTAGATATCCATATTTCTGATGTCTTACAATGTGATTTAGATATCCATACTTCTGACTTCTTACAATGTTATTTAGATATCCATATTTCTGATGTCTTACAATGTTATTTAGATATCCATATTTCTGACTTATCACAAAGTTATTTAGATACCCTACTTTTGAGTGGCCTCATCTGATGTACTGCTTGTAGTTGTCTGCCCCTGGTGGTTGACTTCGTACTCCCAAACTTGAACCCTGTTGACGTCATTGTCCCAGAGCTTTTTGGCAAGGCAACTGATGTCACAGGTAATATCTGGTGTATTTCCGTCTGAATAAAAAATAAAAGTCTCATAAAATTGGTAAATAGAATCTGTTATATAGCTATACTGAGTCTCTAGAACTCGAGATTGATTAAAAATATTAGAAGTATCAAAAGATAGACGTGAATAAATTACTTTCCATTTTGTTACTGCTCATTTTTTCGCCATACTGTACTTTATCATTTAAGATAGTCTAATTTGAATATCAGCATTTCAATAAACAAACCATATTTAGTTACTAATTTGAAATTGTCAGGTCTATTAGACATGAAAATATTCACCTCAATTATATTTATGGCATACGATCACATAAATTGTGTACTATTTCATCAAGAGAAAAGAAAACCAAGTGGTTGTACACAAACATACCACTTATTTCACAAAACCTTGGTGGGTATGTCTATTAAGATAAACGTTTACAATAATTTGTTTTTCTCCCCATGTTTAGCACTTCTTCAAATTTTAAAAACATGAAAAAGGGACACACTTTGTACTTGTATCAAGGTGAACTATTTAACACTGGAAAGCTTACCAACACACAACGTTTGATAGTCTGGGCAACAATCACCAAAATTGACGCATGCGCTGTTACATTGACAGGGTTTGCTGTTGTCTAGGGCGGCATTACATCTTCCGGTACAAGTCTCTAAAAAGAGGGTAATGTAATGTTGTGACCTTTTCAGTTATATGTATATATTTCTATTTCCAACTATTTTTTCTGTATTAATTCTTTTAAAGTAAGTTCGCTGATCTATCAATACTTACAAACTGAATATAAATTTCGCTAAGTGAAATTTAAATTGTGTAATGTGCATGTTGTGTCTAACGTCGATGAATGGAGACTATGGAAATAAATATGGAATGCCTGGTGTAATTTAAATCTATTGGACAGCATTTTTTACATAAACATTTTTATTGATTATCATGATTTTCACAAATAGATGTAAATATCATGAATCACTATCTAGTTTGTCGGATATGTCCGGGACAACAACGACAGTGGAAACCTGGGTAATTTATGCATAACGGACTATGAAATGATTAACTATTCATGCTGATCAAAATTATCAATCTGGTCAATACCAATAATTATTGTGAATGGTGTGTATCTGTCAAGATTCGGGTGATTGAACTTACGTTGTGTACAGAGGGTGTGGTAATCAGCACAGCAATCTCCATAGGTTACACAGTGAGTATTACATTGACACGTCTTACTGGGGTCATGACCCGCCCCACAACGCCCTGAACAGGTATCTAAATTAAAAGGAAAATAGTCATGATATTATGCATTCATGATTGTACACTATACATTCGGGGTCAGAAAATTGTGCTACAAGTGCTTATAGAACCACGGCAAATGAAAGTCAGTTCACAGAAGACAATTATACCATCCCCTATATATATATATATATATATATATATATATATATAAAGAAGCAAATAGTCATTTGAATTGCGGTATTGTGTGTCAACATGATAAGCGTGTAATCAAAATCTTGTTTGCAAGATTTTAAAATTTCGTATTATGCCAAAATAATCATCAGATTGAAACATCAATTGAATAGCTTTATTTCTTAACATAAAACCCCTCCAAGAGATTTAGCTAAGATTTTAAAATAAATTCTGGACTTTGTTAATTCCAATATATTTCAATTAAATAAATACATGTACATAAGACAAATCAAAATATGAAAAATGTACTAGGTTTCATAAGCTGGTAAAGATATGTCTTTCTTATTCACACTTAGACGAGCTATTCAAGAAGAAAGAACTTTGGTTTAATTTATCAGATCTTCAAGTTCAGAAATTTAAAAATAGAAATCATCATTAATTTTCTTTCTTTGTTCAGGATCATATTGTAAGTTGTGTGAGTATATACAATTAAATATTTCAAATAATACACGAGCCACTCTTATGTTTCAAACAAGCCCCCCCCCCCTCTCTCTCTTGATCGATCGGTAGATTGATCGATCAACCTTGAGCAGTTTTTGCATTCAGTGCGGGCATTTAGTCATTGCAAATAAATTAATAAAAACGGTAAAGGTAACAAAGTAAACGGAGAGATCCGTAGTCAAAATTCAATTTAAAAAACTTCATCAAACAATTGGTATGAAACTTATTCATTAAAATTCAATGCTTTATATTGTATTTGTAAAATCGACTTAGTTGTCAGTAGCCTGTCTCAGTTTGAAAATTGATTGAAATCAGTTCATGTTTCGAATAAGTTGGAAGACATAAACATTCTATGCAGATGATAGAGGAATATTACTAAATAAATAAAGTAAGTTGACGGTGGGTTGTCGTCTTGTTTATTATACAATTCAGTTGTTAGTGGCCCCTTATCATCTATGGTCAGAAAATCATTCAAATATGTTAAAGTTTTGGAATAATTTTTCAAAGGGATATAAAACAGGTATTCAGATATATCTGCATATCGAGTTAAACGATTTAATATTTCCAATTTTTAATAATATTCGAACCTATTTCAATTTTTTTTCATCTCCTTTGAAATCTTTGGATTCTTTGCTTGGATAAGATAACTCTGCTGACCAAACGAATTATGCCGAAATGCTATGCGTACGTTTTGTGTGTAGTGGTAAAGCTTCTTTTTTTGATAATTTAATTAAATCTTCACAACAATTGAAAGTTCTTTCAACAATCGCCAAAATTGGAGCAAGTGCTATTACCGTTAAATATATTGTCTGGAATTCTTGAAATGACTTCTCAACAAATTTGTAAATGACACATTTTCATAATCATTACCACACATTACTTACGTTGTGCATGTATCAAGTAATCCGTTTTGTCTGCACCACAATCTTCATTTGTTTTGCAATGGCCTTCAGATTCTTTGCACTGATCATAAACCGCCTGAGATTGTCCTGTGCATGAAAACGAAGGAAAAACAAAAAAACAAAAACAAAAAACAAAAAAACAAACAAACATGTATTCCGATAGCCTTGTTCTTTATACAGATTTGAATTTCTGAATGCATTCTACATTTCATGGATAAACAAATATTCGCACTAAGAGTAGTAGGTTTAAGTTGATAAACTTTTGTTTCAATCAGGCCGGATTCGCAAAAGGCGATCACAGCTCTTGGAAAAAGTTTAAAGAAAACAAACATTAATCATTGCTTTAAAGCAATGCCAATGGAGAGTCCCCCAATATCAGAGATGTGATCAAAAGTCATGGAGGAATAAACAATCCGAGTCAACCAGTCACATCGCCCTTGAGCCCTTTGTCTTCCTTTATATCGAGTCGACAAATGAATTAAAATGAATATTGTTATTTATTTATAAAATATTATCGATGAAATTAAGTGCTAAAGCAAGAGAAGATTTTCGAATTTCTAGTAAATTCTTTTCTTCTTTTATTGGATATGTTGTATTTTACTCTTGCTCAAACAGAAGAAACAAGGGTATTTATTTCAAGCTGTATTACATCACATCCTATCGACTCATATCTAGTTAAAATAGACTTCAACCGGTATCTTCGTGTTTGGACTGAATAAAACGTTTGTTTGATTGTTGATTAATGTCCCTCTCGAGAATAAAACGTAGAATATATTTAGAACAGCCTTCTTCAGCTTTCCTATTTACAATGGCTAGAAATGGGCAGATCCGCCCCTGATATACAGGGTGTTTTTAATTTCAAGGCGATGAATTTATACCACCAGTTTATCCTTTAAAAAAATTGAGGAGTAAAGGAGAATATGAATGAACGAGGTTAAAACTTTTTTTTTAAAAATTTTAAGTCAGGAAAAAGAATGTTTTCTTCAAAAGGCCTGGAATCTTATGAAATGTAAATCTGATATACATGTACATACAATTCATTTGTGCACATTTGCACATATATTATAATTTACAATTTCTAACAATCTTAAATATCAAAGGTGTTTTAAGGTCAGACGACACGTTCCTCAATAATATATACATGTATCTTTCCCCGAAAATTTGTCATTGATGTACTGCTACTTTAAAAAAAGTTTCTTCAGAAAAAATTGAGATACCTTTGTGCAAGATACCAGAGGGTGGTGTTTCCTATATAATCCTATTTTAAATCACTTGAATTGTCAGTATCACAATTTTCTGTAATTATTTTCTAAGATATTTTGAAAACAGTTCAAAAATTACAAGATAATGTTAAGATTATGAATATTTCCTATATATTGCAAGGGAAAACAAACCAGATTTTTAAGGAACAAGAAACATGATTATGCGTTAGCTTAAAGGATATAGAAAATCTAAACATCACAGTCAATATTTCGCACGAAAGATGCTATGAAAGGCTATATTAAAAAAAAGGCCCCACTAATGAAATCGCTGCACATTCATGTAATTGTTTTTGGTTAATCTGAATAAGTCACCAAAAAAGTTGTAAATGAACATGTAATTCCGTTGATACCAATAGAATTAAGAGAACGTCCCTTAGTATTTAACTGATATTTGATTTACCTGCCCCTTCTCTGGAAGACAGCACGAAAACAAGGATCAAAACTCTCCACATGATGGTCTGATCTCAGATTGCATACAGAGGTAAGGGGTGTGGTAAATAGGTGAAACTAATTAAAGTGATTACCGGAAGCAGGATGTTTGTATAACCAGCGTAAATCACGGAACTATAGTTACATATACACATACATGTACAATTTACACTATACTGATGTAGACATTGAAAGTAGCGCCGTGTGACTCTCTAATGAAATATATTGAGACAACAAACAATATTCAAGCTCAGAAGTCCATTAAATAATACAAATTTTGGAACAGAGCAAACACGGACCTCTAAAACATCAGAGGAGGGATCAGGTGCCACGGAGGAGTAAGCATCCCCTGCCGACCGGTCACACCCGCCGTGTGCTCCTTGCCGTGATCAGGAAATAACGGAAAAATCCGACGACAATTCAGTGTGTAAATAATGACTAAACAATTAGTATGAAAAACATTAGTCAGCATTTGACTTAATGATAAATTGTATTTGCTGACAAGGTCATTGTATCGACCATAGAACTTACGAAATGACGACTTTAAACTTGACTGCTGATATTCTTGTTTCATCAACTTGTTTGTCAATACATGTAACATACCTCGTTTTAGGAATTGTTCATGCGTAGAACATGCTCTTGGGTATCGAATCAACTGAGAGATATAAACT